CTTTCTTTTTTCTTCTTGAGGGTATATAAACAGGACAGCCTTCAAAATTCAAGTTGAGCTTGGGGCCTAATAAAACCTTGTTTTACCATGCAAGTTCAATGTAACAGTAATTATATATATATTTAATATTAAACTTTTTTTTTTCTTAATCACCATCATTTTATCATTCTGTTTTATATTGTTAAGAAAGAAATTATATCTTTCTATACTGATAGAAAAATTTAAATCAGTATAAACAACAGTCCGTAAACTACATATAGTATTAATATTATTATTATTAATACTAGAGCAGAATAGGATCTAGAACGTGGCAATGCTAGTAGTACTAGTAGTGGTATTAATATTACTATCAGTATCAGAAAATATCGATAACAATAACAGCGATGGTACCAACTGTTTTAGACTACAAGTTAACTGGTATAAGTTATAACCTTACTATGCCTACTTAAAACGATGAATTAAAGTTGCTATGTTAATTAATCGGCAAATGTTTAGTTTCGTCGAAACTTTCGATCTATGCTTTGATTAGAAGGTAATGATAATAATATTAGTCTTCTTCTTCTGTAGCTTTTCCCGTATCTATACTGGGTCGCTATGATAATAATAATATCAGTAGTGCAGTATATACTACTGGTAGTAGTAGAAGCACTAACACTGTGACAGAAACAAAACTAAAGCCTGTAATTTCAAATTTAATACCGTAAAATTAGTAATGTATTAAATCGACCTTAATTATATACCATTAACAGCGATGATACCTAACCATGAAACAATGCATGTTTTATAACGAATGAAAAATATATTTCATTCTTAAGCTTTACACATTACCAGTTTTATCTCTAGTTTTGATCTAAGTATGTAAAATGCCCTGATCAGAAATTAACAATATTAATAATTAATTTCTGGAACAGTCAAAAGCTAAATTAACTAATAGTATATTCTGTGGTGTAGCTATTAATATCATAATATGGTCAGTTTAATACATTTATTCAGTTTATTAATCGGCAATAAATGTTTCTGGCTTTAAATATGTTGATAAAAAACAAGCATTCAAATAATATTACTAAATATAAACTTGTATATAGTCCAAGATTATCTTTCCTATTTTAAATAACTTAGGAGAAACAACCATGCAGTTTCCAACATTTTGTAGCTCAACTCAATCAGTTTTTTATTATTTTGTTGTTGTTTTTCACTCCAGTGAGTAGTGTTAGTATGGTCCAGCATAATTACAGACGTCAGTTAGGAAAGAAGTATGGAGGTATGTTAAGGATATCGTGTATCGCACACCTATAACAAACATCACGGTGCTATGAGCCAGGATAACAATGCTATCGCCTCTGTTACTGTGGACATTTTGCAGCGAACGTGGACTGAATTCGAATATCGGTTAGACGTGCTAGATTTGCCAAAAAATGCTGAATTACTGAACATTGGTAGATAAGTATGAAATATATGGATAAATCACTAGGTACATTATATTGATCTTATTATTTGTTCAATGTTTATATCACATAATTATCTGACTCATGCTTTATTATATGGCAACAGTAAAAAACAGGCAACGTAGGAAGAGTTGTCAAGTCAGCAGTTTTCAGGTTGCATGCTGGAGATTTTGGTGTGTTGTAGGCTGCTTTTTTTTATTTTCGCCTGCTGGTAACTTAAATTCTATTGTTACGTCTCTGTTCGTTTGTTAATTTTCCGTAAAAATTATTTCCGAAGAAACTTTAGCGATACAAGTCCTTTCATAAATAAAACTAGTTTATTCTTTCTCAATACAGCTTTGCAATACACTTAATTTTCACAGTCACGCTATAAATTAAACAAACGCTATAATTCACAACGAACGACTCAGGTTCGTGAATGCTGGAGTGTTTACTAGATATGCGGTATTCATGTATATAAGACTGCCAAGAAGTGACGACAACAATGGAATGTAATTGAACTGCAGACAGAGATAGAGATTGACTCGAGCACGTTCGAGAATATGACGTGTTACTAGCGTCACGTGACCCCC